AATACAAATTACATAGGATGGAAAATCTATGTGATGTCTCATTATAAGTATCTACATATCTTGTTGGAAACGAACTATTAACCCTAGAGCTGATGAACCAAGCGTTCCCTTACATAACAGTAAATACAATGAATTCGTTCTACATTGCATTTCGAGTCAAAATGTTCATTTAAAAACAATGGAGGGCATACCTTAAATAGAATATCGGAACACATGGCTTTTCCATGAGTGATGATGGGTTCTTGATCTTCACCCTTACCGTCCCAGCAGTCAAGTTCGATACAACTATGAGGAAGGAATAATCTGTAAGCACGCACAGAAGCGATACAGAAGCTTACATGAGGACGAGTACCTTGACATTAAGAAGAACATTTCCCACTTAAAAAATTTCATCGTATAAGAATGCCTCCGGAGTGGAGCGTCATGATTAGGCATCTAGCATTCTGTGTGTTAAATGAGGAAAAGAAGATAAACGTAGTCTATACTACATGGATACTGGAAGTGCTATGTAGAAATATTCCAAGACAATGAGAATTGAGTACTCTGAAAAGAGGGAGGAATAGGTTTGCATGTACACGCGCATGCAACACAGTAGACCCTAATCTGATATGAAAAACGATAGCTCACGTCAAAAAAATTAATCACCTCCAGAAAGGATGTAACTATGCAAAGTGTCCAAATAGTGATAGAATTTGGATAGCAACGGTTTACTAATGGAAAAGGAAAGAGAACAACAACGGAAATTATTTTTTTGGTCAGACTGAGAACATTGGTTTTAAGCGTTTAAATCTTGAATCTATAAATACAATATTAATGGAACAAATAATAGGCCACTATGCTGAAAGGCATCTACACATGATTAATGAAGCAGAACTAGGGTAGGTTTGAAGTAGAAAGTAGCCAAAGTGAACCAGCTGATAAAGTCACGCAATCGCAGTATTCGCTGACCAAGTGAGTCACTAAGGATGGAAAAATTGACCAATTTAAATCCATGTGGAAAAGACTGCCACATACCGACACCCAGCAAGGAGAACTTGTCGATAAATCTCAACAGATGACTTGCCACCGAATTGTCTACCAATGAGGTACGTGTTGTGCGAGGAATTAATGTAGTAGTGACACAGCGGTTGGTCCATATCCTGATATATATCCAGTCGGTCGAGAAAAACCGGAGCGTTGTCATCCGACATTAGGTAGCGATAAAAGCCTTTCAGACTCACGGTATCTACAAAATCGAAGAAACAAAAGTTATGGGGATGAGTTGATATTCTTGCACGAGCTTTGAGCAAAATAACTACCCTGGAAGAAATTGAAGAAATTAGAAAAAAAACAATGCTTCAATTCCGATAAGTTAGTGCGACGCTGTAATACGTTAGAACAACCATTAGTCGGAAATGGATAGCAACCAAAATCCCATCAAAGGCATACCAGTACTGTTATTTTTGTCCCGTGAATCATATGTTTCTTGAATATATCGGATAGTTTGGCGATTTGCGTAGGGGTAAAGGATTTCGTTCAAACGAGGATCCCGTTGAACCTGATGAAACCAGATACAAGTTAGTAGATTACAAAAAAACTGAAGTTTTAAAAAAGGCAGAACATATAAACCCTATGCACTATTTCCTTCGTATAAACCATTGTATGGATGTGGTTCTCTGTTTGGGTGGAGCCTTTCGAAGGTTCCGGAAAAGGCCCAAATCCAGCCTAAATGCCTAGCCAAATTCTAAGAAACAACTACAGATTTCAAACAAACTGCATCGAGATGATGGAATTACATAGTGTCAAAAAGGAGTGAACATGCCTCATTCAGAAACCCTATCATTTTGTCAGCAGTAATTGTTTCCTTGCCATGAGACCTGAAACAGAGGAAAAACGAGTCATTGAAACGAGCCACTTATCCCCAAAAAAAAGCCTTTGAATCAGATAATAAATTACAAAAGTACGCTAAAGGGCAGACACGAAATGCGTAAGGGACAAGCAAAAGTATCTAATTAATCGTTTTTGTTCCGCACGAGTCATAGAAGTTACAAGAGCACTAAATTGAATCAAACATTACAAAATACATCGCCTCATGAGAATAGACATATTTATTGATACGAGGTACGGCAACAATTGAACCAGAGAGAGCATTTGGAAATCCACATATCAGCATGGAAAACACCAAACGATATAAATAGTATTAAGGCGAAACGTACACAATGTTTGCAACTTACAGTGATTTGAACAACTCCTCAATGTCAGTCCGGGGACAGATCTTATGA